CGCTGTCAAGTTTCATCAGACCAGAACACTTGAAATTGGATGTATGCACAGTTGAACTGTTTACTATGTGTGTTGACCATAGAGGTTCGCTTTCTTTTCCAGTCCCAAAAAATAGCCCCAATCCCCATCCTCCCTACACATTGTCACTTCACAAGAACTGATTATGTCACCTCGGCTGATGATGAAACGTTTGCGAACAAATTGCCAAGCTCGACGAACAGGCGAAATGGAATTATCACTTCCCTTGTATGCAATATGAGTTGGGTGGCGATCAGTGAAGTTCGCTCCACTGTATTACGCTGTACAATGATAGTGATGATGATGATGATGATGATGATGACGATGATGATGATGATGATGATGATGATGATGATTAGGGTGGACACATAAAAGAAAGATGATACACATTCCGTGATATCTTTCTATTTTACGATAACCAATCGTGGAAGATAAGTTAAAATGAGTTGGGGCATTCATTCAAGGAGGACAACTGAACTGCATGTGGGTTTGAAACAGGGGCAGATAGTTCTTAAGGTTTACTAATAACTTCCATTGTTTAATCTGGTGTCATATGAATTTTCAGTTAATCTTCTGTACATAGTTTAAACAGCTGGGTGTTTATATTATCCCTTTTCCTTTAATTGAATAGGAAAAGATAGAGCTTTTAGGAATGGCCTATCAAAAGACTGATATGAGTGTAATAAATTAAAAAGGGTCCAAATTGAAAATTGGTTACCATATGTGGCCTCATTTCAGATAATACGGTTGATGGTGACTATAGTGCTGATCTGTAGAATTGTTTACAGGTTGTTTATCAAGTAATTATCGATCCAAGACCACCCCAACGTGAAACTTAATCATGACGGAGGCTATCGCTATCCGATTACTAGCTTTCTATCTTTGTTCGCAAAAGCGGTTGGTCCAATCACTTGATCGAGTGCTAGCAGAACAGAAGTTTAAGTGAATCTAGATAATATCCTGTGAACGAATCAGTAGTGTTTGGAAAGGTAAATCCACCTGCGAAAACTCAACATCAACTCAGACACGATCCTGTGTGATTTTTTCGGAATGAAATTCAACTTCCTCATCGAAGACCTTAACTGATCTTAACTGACTTACGAAACCCTTATACTGCTTCCTCACAAGTATGAACTGTTTGAGCATAACTTATGACTTAAAAAGATGAATGAATGTTTGGTCTCTAGTGTTTCACATTCATTTTCTCATGATGAAGACAAACGGCCACCAGGTTGTATTAAAATAAAACTGCTCATTCAGTGCAACACCGAATATCCTTATCACTAACCGGTTACATTACAACTTTCCACAATCCTGATGGTTATAAGCTCCATGACGGAAAAATGCAATCAATGTAAGCGTGAAAGAACGAATAAACACAAATGAGGATCTGTGCAGGGGAGTTTTTAATCAGCAGCGGTCACGAATGAAAAAAATATCATTATAATTCGCAAAAAGAAGTTGATACACCAATACACTAAGTGCTATCATTTAGAGTATAGTCAGGCGATTCTGAGACAACCGAAACCTGTGAAGAGAACGTCGAATTGAGGACGGATTGTGTTCGTGCTCAAACGTACAATCTGACCTAAAACAGAAAAACTCTTCGAGCTAAATGATTACTCAGTGTAGACTTTAAAAACATCCTACTTTCTAGAAAAAAGACAATCCTTTAAGTGTCTTGTAAGTGGCTGGCCAGCAAGAGACGAGTTCCTGCAGTTTTTATCTTCAAGACCTGGAACGCGATTCCGTTCGTTTCCGCGTTTCGTTCTCACGAGTTTAAATGGGTGGAGAGGGTGTGGGTACAAGTCCTGTAAACTGGAATTAATTATTACAGCGTTTTATATTTCTCCCTAGATTAAATTTAACGTCCAGATGGAAAAATAAGCAGTTGAATCGTGGGCAACCACATTATGGTTTCTGAATCTAATAACTGAAATTACTGTTCTAAGCAGTTCGAGTGGGAACGATTCACTGATCAAATCAATTGTGTTGTCTTTGATGGCATTTCGCCAACAGGATTTGCGGTCACTGTTTCAATCTGTTTGAACCGCTTTTCGGTCAGTCTACTCTTAAACATACAAGCCACTTTTTGACCCTGATGAAGCACAATGCTGCAAGGCAATGTACTCTTGCAGAATTATTCTGAATGAATGAATACCATTCACCTTTTTCAGTACTATAGTTCATTGACACGTTGTTATTCCCGATGGGCTTTTAAAAAAGGTAGCAAATGTGACTTCCACACCGGGACATGTGTTGTCAAACGGGAACACGTTGTTTTCCAAAAAACATGAAACATGAGACACAAAATGTCAGACACCGGTGCACACACGACACTGATCATCATCGTGATCATCGTCACACTGCCTCATTTGGATCGGAACAGTGATCCTCGTTGCCTAGGCCCTAGTTATCTAAAGGTAGAGTGATAGTCAATAAATGTTACGAGATAAATCGAAAGTGATGATGTGAAATGAATACAGGAAAACGGGTGTTAGTTTCACAGACTGCCATTTTCGGTCTCTAATACCAGCTGCCTCAATAACGGATGAAAATCATCAACAAGTATAAAAGAATGTTGACTGTCACTTCCACAAATCTATCTTGTTTGAGGGTGCTCATCTCACGTCTGTAATACAAGAAAGAACACCTTTTGTTCTGTGTTAACTATACCTCAGAGCTGGTGGATCACAACGCCACCCGACACATTAGTTTCAGCAGTTCAGCAAACGTTTGAAGTGATTACTTTGGAGAAGATTGCATATTGTGGACAAGTTGTTCATGACGTGATGCCAGCATGTTCTACACCTTCACGGTACCTCTTGAACACATCAATATAACTGTTTCCTATTATGTCACATCGACCCAACACGTAGTGTCACACACATTGCCACATAGCGCTCGTCACTCTTCGTTTCCCGTCAAAACTATGTACGTGGCGCTAGATCATCCGCCTCCGCCATTTGATTCCTACCACCGCTAAACATCCTTAAGTCACTGCCAGCACGATAACAGTTGCTTATCCAAATGACAGCATCGGATGGGGTTAGATAGAACGAAACATCTAATTAACAATAGTTGGTTAGTATTTTGCTGATCATCAGCCTGAAAGTCTGTTTGTATCTTTTGTATTTGCAATAATCAATCTTCCACTCCACTGGTGAATACCGTAGGAATCCAATAAATGCCTCTTGATGCATAAAAGATACATACTACTCGCAAGTGTATGTAGTGTGTGACAACACTATCTTTGCTCAGACAAATATTGACTATCTGTTCCGCATTTTTCTTGACTGGAACTGAACCATATAGTGGATATGTTTTCTCAGGCATGTTTACTCAGGCAACAGAAAAATGGATTAACCCGAGAAACTCACCAAATTGTCATGCTCATGCACACACATCCTAAACTACATGAACTTGTTCACCAGAATGACATAAGTCAAGAACTTGAAGCAATAATTTTCTCGAATGAATTTGGAAAAGGCCAATAGTTTTTATGGTCGCTTTGAGCGGTAGACAACTCGGAATGCGTTCGTGGGATTCACTCGGTGACCAGTCTCCTTCAAGTGTTTGGAAGCGCTCGATGCTCTATTACCAAACACATGAAGGAGACTGGCCATCGAGTGAATCCCACGGACGCATTCCGAGTTTTCTACCGTCCAAAACGACCATATCAGCTGAATTTCGCGGAAACCGTAACCATAAGAAGAACGAACTAGATTTTGTGCGTTCAGAGGCAGATGGTGGTTGCATTGGCTTCACTGTGGAGTTAATCCGCTCCCCCCCACCCCATCCTTTAACCATTACATCATCATTATAACTTTCATGCTCCTCTCCCTGCCTCATTCACTCGAAACATCCAACCACACACAAACACCAATTCCACCTCCCCACCTCCATTTGGATAATGAATTCCAACTTTTGTTGTGAATAATTGTCAGGACTGTGTAGTCGGCTGATTAAGTTCCTGTCTTCGCATAACCACGTGTTCTGTCTTTTCCTGTCCGCCTAATATCTACTGAAACACACACACACATTAATATGTCATCCTCACCCATTCACTAACCATTTCCACCCATCTGAATTCGGACTGAGGGGAAAGGTGTCGGTAATCTA